TTCAAGATATAAATCTCGGTTTATTATCTTTTTAGTGTTGATACAAATTATTTAAAGACTTCGCAATTGATTTGTACATCAGAGGATTTTCTCTTGTCACCAATGATTTGACTTTAGAAACGTTAAATACAGTGCCTAGATTTTTCGGGTAGTCGTTTGGAATCTTCCTTCCATATAAAAATAATGGCAAATGGTTTTTCCTTTCCGATTAATAATGATGTTCTTTAGCACTTATAAATTTTAAACCCATGCATTTACAACATTTTTGAGTAATGGAGCAAAAATATTTCTCTTCGAAAAGCGAAAAATCATATTCATCAGATCACAGCTTGTTTACATGGGACACTTAAAAAGAAAAATTAATTTAAATGTAGTAAATGATATTTGCTTTTTAGCTGTAGCCAGAAATTGTTATTCCAAAGTATTCGCTTTCTTTTTTTAATTCCTCATCGAAATCGTTGTAAAAATGCATAAACACCCTTTGTAAAACCTTTTGTGTACCTGTAATTTTTGCCCTTCCACACAATCTTTCTGTTCCTGCACAATCAATATGCTTTAATCTGCGGAGAGCCTCAACCAAGCAGCAACATACAGATATTTTATATTTAATAATAAAAATCAAAATTGATGCGTCAGAAACAGAGGTAGCAATTCCGATTTTTTAACAGAGTTTATTGATTAAATACTTCTATGTAATCCAGTCCGTGCTGCCTTTCCCAAATTTGTTGCAGTTTTTACATACAGGATGTTCTTAATAAAGGTGTATCCAAGCCGATCCAAAGTGCGCTAATTTGATCTATTAGAGGCATTCTGCTTTTGTAGTAAAAATATACATGCTACAGGAACTGGGAATACTTTATTTTGAACACCTTGTAATAAATTATTTTGCAATTAAGTGTGAAAACGTTTATCCAATTGTGAAGTTCCTTTACGTTAATTAACCAGTTATTTTATATTTTAGATCGGCACTATCACTTCTTCCATTCCGTTTTCCTCCAGAATGCAAATTCACATCGCATGTATTAAAGGTGAATTTTTTAGATTGTAAGACAAAACATGTTCTGCCTGTCGTGGCCGTGTTACTAACTTACTATCTCAGATAAGAGGTTTTATCTTCGGCCGCGCCTTCTCTTCTTATTTAGTTTTAACAGTCTTTTAGTTGTTATTTAGACTTAGCGATAAGTCGCTTAACGTCTAGCAAGTGTTAGATACTTTAGATGATGCCTAAACATGTTAAACTCTGCACAATGACATAAAAATACTGATAAAATTTAAGGAAAAAAAACAGTCAAAATACATTTCTGCGGAAATTTATTTCGAGCAGTTACATTAACAGTAACTGTAATTAATCCCTTAATATTTTCCAAAAATAGAACTAAAATTGTGGTATCTTCATATCGTGCATTATTTATCAGAATTAAAAAAGATATTCTAAAAAAGCAATGACTTGGCATTAGAAATGGAGGCACATTTAACCGATTAATAGCACATCAACGTAACTTGTAAACAGAAAAGCTGATTATTTGCACTGTATTCGTCACTTCAAGTTCTGAAGGGGAAAAAATTATCTTTCATATCTATCACATTTATTTTATTTATTTAGTGATGTTCAGGGTGTCTCCCCCCCCCCCAGTCAGCATAGTGATCAGGGAAGCTGACTGCGATGCCAAAGGACCTGGTTTCGAATCCCGGAGGAGGCATGATTGTAACTGTCCGTCCCTTCATAGGAAAGGCGATGGTGGCCCACCTATTAGGTGCCTCCCTAATAAAGAGACCACCATATCTGGCCTTGTATAAATTAATGGACTGGGTTACATTTGTAATTAATTGTTCACAATCTGCCATTGGAAAAAAAAAAGATGTTGTTCAGGGTGGTTTCGTTTCACTTAGGCAAACATCTTTAAAAATGTTTCAAAAACATAAACAGACTACTCTTTTCTGCCAAAAACAAGAATTTTTTCTACATTTTCTAACCGTTATCAATGCAGACAAAGCAATGTCTACACATATTTACAGAAAAGACAACATGCTTTATAATACCTGAGAAGTTTAAAGCGTACCCTTATTCCTAAGTTTATTTTTCGGCTTGCCAATTTTTTATTTATTAAAATAGTTTTACCAATTAAAGTCAACATATAATCCCGCTGAGCTGTGTTAGGGGAACTAATCTCCATGGATAATAAATATCTTGAATAAACTCAATACATTTATAGTAATATAGGAAATATGTTTTAATTTCAGTGATGGCAATTTCTAGAAGTTCCAGAAACCTGAAATTTTCTTTACAGATTTATAGTTATTTTAGTTTTAAATATTTTTATCTGTAAAGAATAAAGTACTATATATTATTTGTATTTTTACTTCTCTATTTAAGAGTTTCTTGGTTTAAAATAGACTCCCATTTTAAAGGATGACTGGGATTTTTAGGGGACCCAATCGCCAAATCCTGTGTGAGGGGAGTCATCATCCAACACCCTTTTAGTTCGGTCGCCACTGTGGAGTCTTTAGGATTTTAAAGCAGGAGTAATGAAAAATGAGCAACACCTTCGACGGGAATCGAACCGCAGACCGCTGGAATACGCGCCCAGCGCGCACCACCACACCACGAAGGCATGCCAAGAAGGCGGGAAAAATACCTAATAATATAACTCGATGTCATTTCTTTTAGTATTCTAGTCAATGTGTAGGTATTCAGTTGAAAGACAGTGTAGTAAGATTACGAAACAACAGCAAAATACTTGAATTTAAATCTTACTCTTGCCTGTTTTACAAATACATCAAAACAAAATAGTGAATTAGAAAATAAAAGGAAGAATACTTTACCACCATCCAGAATACCAGAGAAGATCCGCATCTTCTCTTAAGCGTAAGAACAATAAAATGAGTAAACAAGTTAGTAAGTATCAAAGCCCTGAGACAGTCAAAAGCATTAAGTATCATATGTCGCAAAAAAGAGTAAAATGAAATATACAGAAGTTAATTTTGCAAATGCTACTCAAATGTAACAAACGTAGCATATATAAAACTCTAAAGTTTAGACAGTTAACTCACTTCTAAAACTTTATGATCTTATTTTCCTTCAAAAGAAAACTTATATTTTTTTTAATCAATTGTTAAAATATCTGTTCTTTCTCGCAAAATAATGTTAGTCTGCTGTGTCGTGAGTTAAGATTATATTTTGACACACTGTTTTATATGTTTCGTGACAGCACAGTAATTGCTACTTCAATATAAAACGAGATCTGACATTACACGCATAGTTATTGTTTCTGAAGTGTAAGAGAAAATAGCAGACATTTCTGTATTTATTACATTTTTTAAGAATGGCGTTACTCGTTTCAGAGAACTGGATTATCAGAAATTATTTACTGCGTCTTGTTAATATACCTTTTTTTTTTTTTTTTTTTTTTTTTTGGGAGGGGGGGGGTCGATGCTGCACTAAAAGAAAAAAAATCTAATTTGCGTTTTCGTGAAGTTTAAACAAAAGAAATTAATTATTCTTTACATCTTGATTATTCTTTACATTTCATTACTTATTCTGTCATATGTGGAAAATGCTTTTGAAAATAATAGCACTACTTTCTATTGATAGCCTTTTTCTACTGTTTTTAATTAGTAAAGCCCAATACGTAAAAAGAAAGGGTTTTAGAAAAAACTGTTATTAGTCATTTCTTTCCTTTGTTCTCAATAAAACTTCAAATGCAAAATTTAAATGTTGACTGATTTGTTAATAATTATCATTATGATGATTATGCATAATAGTCTAACTGACGGACTAGGGACTTACTGTCCATTACAAATTGCAGATAAACGTAAAATTTTTCTCATTTAAAGGATTCGATGCTGAACGAAAATTAAAAAAACAAATCTCTGCTTTGAAATGTAACAAATCTTTTATTTCAAAATTTTCTTCTCAAGCAGAAACGAATTGAAGTCTGAACCTGAATACATTTATTTATAGATTTACGTAATAATAAACATCAAAATTTAAAAAAAAATCTAAATTTGTTTTAAATCTTTAGCATTTCTCCATTTAAAAACGTTTTTATTAATTTATGTGTTTCTATTAAAAGCATTACCGTTTAACATGACTGGCGCTATTTGCATAATTTTGAAAGTATGTAACACGTGTACATATGGCTTTGAATGACATTACTATTTTCTTAACTAATTTTGAGGATATGAAGAAGTTATATATTATACTTAGCCCTTACTTTGCTCGTTTGACATTATGAACCTATGAATATGCCACGTCTTTTACTGCTAAGCTTGGGCTCAATTTGGTGCATTTTGTTTATTGCAGTTACTATGTATTGATACGACAAGTTAATATACTAAATTTCTGTGTTCATCATAATAGTGCATAGTTTTGCGAAATCGTAAAGTAAAAATTCAATTAATAAAAAATGTATAATACTTTTTTTTCTTATTTCAGTATGCTTTCATTCATCACCAGCATAAAAACGCCGTAATTTGCTAAAGTATTTATTCGACCCACACACTCGCATAGTACATGCAAGCATATATGTATATAATTAATAAAAAGTTACTAGAATATCATAATTTTTAATAATTAAAAGTTTACGAATGCTTTTGCACTTCATCTAAAAGTATTCATTCCAAACAAGCACTTCACTCAGGGAGAAACGATGAAAGAGCCCACATGTGTTTACATACGAGTGAAAAGTCGAAAACTCCTTACACTTATTTGTATTCGTATTTTCTAACGACACAGCGCCAAGCTTTAGGAACAGTTCGTTCTTTGAAAGTGCTAAATCTCATGAAGATTCAGCGAAAAAAATAATTTCTTGGTGAAAACTTTCATTAAATGCAATAATATTTTATTCTTCAGAACATGCGCTTCATTTCAAACTCTTCTGAAAATGGCAAGGAAAAATCATAGAACTTCCAACAAAATTACACTCTACAGAGAAAAAGTTACGACTAAATACACGAAGGCTCGTTGCCGAACAAAAACATGAAAGTTTCAAGAGACTTACTTCGTCCAGAGGGAGCTAGTCGTTCATTCCAGTCTGGGGAGCACAAATCAGCACAGTGTCACTTTCGACTGAAGCAAATTGAAACAACTTTCAATCTGAATCACTTGAGGTGGTGTGTGGAGAGACGCTCTAAATCTGTCTCCAGGGGCAGGCGACTCACATGAGGTTGCCATGACGCTCAGCGTGTCAACAAAACATGATGCTCTCGGAAAGCAACGGTTTCTGTTGTCGGAAGAGGAAAGTGGGAAAAAACAATTGATTATATCGGTCACAGACACGCGTTAGCCAGAGTCTAGCGTGATAAATCTTTTCTTCCCCTTTTGCCTATTCGGCTACAGACTTACACCACTTTAGGCCAAGCAACATATATCTTCCTGTTTAACATATTGAGAACGAACTGGCTCTTGATCTGTACATATGGCAAAATTCGTTTTTGTATATTTATAATAAACTGAATTTATTTACCGTATTCTTACGCAATTACGAATTTAAAATCACAAATTAACATAAATTTGCTGTGTCATTATGCAAAAACCCAACCATCTTCCTGCTATGATTTCACAATACTTTCTATCACTTCCAATTTGATATGAAGTGAGGAAAACAATATCTTCTATGAATCAACAGATGGCAGTTGATGGAAGTGGAAACTCATGGCGGCTACCAGAGGTTAGCAGAAATTGTCTCCAGCCCCCCCCCAATCATGTATAAATTTATTGCAACAAAAATATTTTGACATGGCCAGATAAGAGCTGATAGTACATAGGTGATACAATACGGATTATTTTTTCCAGCACATAATGAACAGTTTGATCTTGCAAAAGTTAAGCATATCTTTCTAAGTTAGCATATCTAAGCATTTCTGACTAAATATGTAAGTTTAGAGCGCAATATATAGCAAATTATTAATTAAATTAAAATTAATATTTAAAATTAAACTAAAACGGGTAATATTCACCTAAAATTAAAATAAAATTAAACTAGAATGTTGAATCAGTTTTTCTTCTTATAATGTGAATCCCTGGTACGGTTGTCCCGTTCACACAGGAATGCAATAACTAAGTATTTTTATTTCTTATTTCGATTAAAATCGGTAAATTACCAAGGATGGTAAACTTACCTGTTCTGTAAAGTTATATTTTTGAAGTTTTCGCCGTAATTTTCCAAGTTCCAGTGCTGATTTTGCGCCCTTTGAGTAATTGAGCTTCCCCACACTCACGCAGCGGGTTGCGGGGGCGTTGTTTAGGCCCCTTTGTTAATTTTATTAATTGATTGTTTTTGACCGATATAATCAATTTTTTATAGAGATTTTCTTGATACTGTGACGTTTCCATACGCTAAAAAATATTTCTTTATCTAATCAGCTGTACCAGATGAACACTCACCTCTCTCTTCCAATCAAATATTTTTAATGTCATTTTAATGTTTAACAACCTCTAAACAGTAAAGAATGGGCACTTATATAACAAAATCGAGCTGAACAGTAATAGTAATTTCAACAGCAGTCTGTGTATTCCCCAAGGGTCGAATGTTTTACTTATGGATCCTATTTTTATTGCTTTTCTATATATATGAGGGGGCGGACTAGTTCTGTCTACATTTACCGAGTTCGGTTAAACCTGGCGTTCAAACCTTCTGCACTAATACTCTGTTTTATATTGCTTCATTCTCAAATCACTATTAGAAGTTAACTATCTTTCTTGATGCTTACAGTGGTACACAAGATAAAACTTAAAGGGTAAAAATCTAATTCAGAACTTTAAATTGCGCTGTTTGCGGTATTACAATCAAAAATTGTGCAAAACAAATATTCCGACTTCTCGTCAACAGCAGTTCGCTGCTGGGTTACAATATATGGCTGGACAATATATACAACATATGGTACATTACCAACAAACTCTAATCGATACTACAACACAATTTGGTGGGACGGGGTAGAGAGACCAAAAAAAAACTAGTTCTGTCTACGCTTACGGATATCGGCTAAAACTGACGCTCAAATCTTCTACACTAATACTCTGTTTCCATATTGCTTAATTTTCAGGTGATTCGCTGTAACATTCTTTTAAAAATGAATTTATGAAAATTCAAAATTTCATATTTATTTTTCGCCAGAATGGTCTCTCCTATCTACTCATCATATTGCATCATACTCTTTGCTTTGAGTTTTAGTTAACAAAAATGGTTTTTTAATAGATACTTAGTTTGATGATTTGTGGGTTATTTTCCGTCTTTGGAAAATTATTTTTTTTTTTATTCTTTTTGTTAATTTACATGTATTCTGCTAATAAGAGAAAAGTATTTCACTAGAAGTTTAAAGATGGGCACCAACAAGTTGACATCATAAGTTCCTTAAAGTTAGCCCCTTCAACTATTCGAAAAGTTTTTGAGAATTACGAAAATGTTAAATTTTTTATTACAATATCATCAATTATTTTAGGAAAAAAATGAAATGCAGAAATTTGGTTTTTGAAGACATGGAAAGACGGTTCAGCATTTGGATCGATCACGAAACACAATATAAAATTCACTTAATGCAAATCATAATTTTGGAAAAAGCAAAAATCATATTTAATTATATACAAGAAAGAATGAATAAAACAATCGAATCTTTTGCGGCTATTCGAGGATGGTCTGACCAATAAAAAAAAAGAAAAAAACATTCTCAGTTATAGGACTACTGGTGAAGCAGCTAGTGCTGACCATAAAACCGAGAAGGAATTCCCACAAATTTTAAAGAAAACTACTATTTATGGAAATTTTTTACCACAAGCAGTGTTTAATGTGAAAGAAACTAGCTTATTCTGAAGAGCATGCCATCCAATACATACATTTCATGAAAAAAAAGTGTTTCTGCATTTAAAGTATCAAAACACACAGTCACCTTGCTTTTAGAAGGTAAAAGTCATTATAGAAATTTGTGAAGATCCATTGTTTTCATAGGTAAAGCGTAGTGCTATGAAAGTAACACAGAATCAAAAGCCCTACGTTTGGTAGATAACACTCCTAGCCACCAAAAAGTATCTTCCAATACTTGTAGTCCAGTGAAAGTTGTCTGTCTGCTTTCAGATACAAGGTCGTTTGTATAACTTATGGCTTGAGGTGTGATATCCAGCTTGAAAGCAGTCTACTTACGATAAACGTTCCAATATTTCATTGACAAATTGATAATAAAGAATTTTAAACGTAGTGCAATTTTGGAAAGTTTACAACATCGTAGATGCTTATCGTATATGAAATAATTCTGGATTTTGCAAATAAAACTATAAACGGACAACGCATGATACTCTATATTTTCAGAACTGTCCAAGCAGTATGGCAATTCTCTACAACTTTACATGTTTCCACTCCTGATACTATAAATGAGATTGTTGATCATATAGCCTGTGTATAAAAAATATTGTTCTTCTAAAAGTGGCGATTTTAACACAGGAGAAAGTTTACCTTGGAGGATGCTGACATCGCAGAATCACTCTTCTTATATCAACATGCTTCGTAAGATTCCTTTGAACATGCTCTGTAGGATATAGGTCCGGTTAGTTCGCTTACCATGCATTGAGGCGAATTCACTCTTCCTTTCTCGTTGAGATTTGTGTGGCCTTTGGCAATCTTCCTTATAAAGACCATCTCCAACAGCTTCAAATAATGTTCAAAAATCCCATTCCTATATTGCTTTGTGGTCATAGTACCCACATCATTTGCTTATTCAAGGTGAATTTATAGTTGGATAGCGTTAATAATACGTGCACATAAAAAAGAGATTTATAGCATTTCACTTTGTGTTGGTATCTGTGTTGGACGCAATTTCTATTTCATTAAAATGAGAAAACTTTCACATAGAATTTTGTTGAAAACTAAAACATTTTTATTCCGATCGCACAGCGGCGGACACACATTAAACGATTGGCGTGCCATAGTGCCCGCGGACATAGGGGTGGGAAATCCTGGTTTAAACGACAGTGAGAACTCATTTTAACTGAAATCTGTCAGTTCTGTCATTATTCTTGCAAATAGCACAATTCTGTAGACGAACTTTGCAGATTCGAAAACTAGTCCTTTTCATTGTTGTATTAAAAACTGTACCTCTTTCAGTTATCACAAAAAATGTATAAGTAGCTCTAATTTTGGTCATTAGGGTAGTTGATGCACGAAAGTACATTTTTCTATCTTCATTTTAATAATGCATTTCATTTTACTTTATTTATAAATGCTTTTTGTTTAATTTTAACACATTAAAACTAAAATAAAAAATATCTGCATAGTTTTAGTGCCCGCCTAAATAAGAAATTAATTTTACTGTTTTATTTTATTTGAAAAAGAAACGTGTTGTGCGTCTAAATAACACATAAAGCCTTTATTCTATGTCGTTTCTATGTGAAAGCTATCTGATAAAAGAATTTTAGTTTGTATTTAATATTAATAAAATAAAATATGTTTTAAACTTTGCTAAAATAAAATAATCAAAAGATATTTTACTTTTACATAACTTAAATTTATGCAGACAGTAGTTATTCACTTTTAGAACGATTTCCATAAAGAATTTCTTTTTTAAAGTAAATGTTTTGGAATAAAAATTTCTTGAAAAAGCTTATTTGGAGCAGATGTAAAGAAAGATCTAGAGGCAGCTTATGTAAATCTGTTATTTGAAATGAAAAATATTCTCTGCTACTTTTAAATTTATTCTACTTTCCAAATGTCGCATGTAAGCAAGCTGAGGATTGAAGATATATTTTTGCGCCTTCCGAGAGAAATATTTCTATTCTGTAATTCAAAAACGTTGTAAAATGCACGGTATTAAAATTTTTTAGTGCAAAATGAACAGCATTTATTAATCTGAAAGGGAAAACCTGTCAATCATTACTTCTGTATATAATGATTCCAAACGAATACCCGAGAAAGGTACACACTGATGTTTCCAATATTCCTAAAATTACTGGTAACAAGAAGAAATCCGCCAACGCAGAAATAAATTGCAAAGTCTTTAAATATATCTTTAGGGACAATAAATAAAATTATAAATCAATATTTACAACTTAAAAAGCATAATATTTACTAACTTTTATCTAGGCATATGGCTCAACACAGAACCTATTTGTAGAACATTATATGAAAATTATTTAGCAGTTGGTAAATGAAAATACATTGTGACCCTTGATGAAGCATGAG